TTAAATAGGTAAGATTTCGGGGTTGCTTAAGCGAACCCCGAGGATCAATGAAAGCTCCAAGTGGGCCATTTTTGGTAAGCAGATTTGGCGATGCGGGATGAAAGTTGACATACGGTCCAAAACTGCGCGATAACCCTTGAACCACAAAGGGTGTTGATTGATACAGACAGGAGGACGGCAGAAATTGAAGTCAAAATCCGCTAAGGAGTGTGTAACAACTCACCTGCCAAATCAATCAGCCCCGAAAATGGATGGCACTGAAGCGCGCGACCTATGCTCCGCCATCGCAGCGATTCTGACGCCGCGACGAGTAGGAGGGCACGGGGCCTTTTGCGAAGCCTGGAGCATGAGCCTAGGTGAAGCGGGTCCGGGTGCAGATCTTGGTGGTAATAGCAAATATTCAACTGAGAACTTTGAAGACCGAAGTGGARAAGGGTTCCATGTGAACAGCGCTTGGACATGGGTCAGTCGGCCCTAAGAGATGTGGAAAACTTGTATCAAAGGCTCACTGCGCGCCGCACATCGAAAGGGGGTCGGGATTCCCAAACCGGGTTTTGGAGGTGGACAGTAACGTAAGCAGCTCTGGAGATGCCGGCTGGGGCCGTGGCGAAGGTTCTCTTTCCTTCTTGACGGCCTTTCACCCTAAAATAGGATCAACTGGAGATAGGGTGCAGCGCCCGGCAAAGCACCGCGCATCCTGTGGTGGCCAGCGCGCCCCAGACGTCCCTTGAAAATCTGGAGCTGCGGGTACCTCTCACGCCCTGCCGTACTCATAACCGCATGAGGTCTCCTAGGTGAGCAGCCTCTGGTCAAAGGAAGAATGTAGGTAAGGGAAGTCGGCAATATGGATCCGTAACCTTCGGAAAAGGATTGGCTCTGGGGGCTGGGCTTGGGGGTCTGCGCCTCGATGTCATTGGCTGCCGGTGGTCTGCTCGAGCTGCTCCCGTGGCGAGGGCGGAGCCCGCGTTCCAGTGTGCCGACGGGCGAAGAATGTCTTATGTCCCCACCTTTCGGGTGGGGCCGTGGGACTCTCCCTAAGCAGCAGAACTGGTGCAGACAAGGGGAATCCGACTGTTTAATTAAAACAAAGCATTGCGATGGTCCCAATGGATGTTGACGCAATGTGATTTCTGCCCAGTGCTCTGAATGTCMAAGTGAAGAGATTCAACCAAGCGCGGGTAAACGGCGGGAGTAACGATGACTCGTCATCTAATTAGTGACGCGCATGAATGGATTAACGAGATTCTCACTGTCCCTATCTACCATCCTSCGAAACCACAGCCAAGGGAACAGGCTTGGCAGAATCGGCGGGGAAAGAAGACCCTGTTGAGCTTGACTCTAGTTCGACTCCGTGAAATGACTTGAGAGGTGTAGAATAAGTGGGAGCCTTACGGCGCAAGTGACATACCACTACTTTTAACGTTATTTTACTTATTTCGTGAGGTGGAGCCGGGGCTCTGCCCCTGCTTCTCGATCCAAGGTGCAGGCCCTCGTGGCCTGTCCGATCCAAGCGAAAGACATTGTCAGGTTGGGAGTTTGGCTGGGGCGGCGCATCTGTACGAAGATAACGCAGGTGTCCTAAGATGAGTTCAACGAGAATAGAAATCTCGTGTGGAGCAAAAGGGCAAAARCTCATTTGATTTTGATTTCCAGTACGAATACAAACTGTGAGAGCATGGCCTATCGATCCTTTAGCGTTTCAGGACTTGAAGCTAGAGGTGTCAGAAAAGTTACCACAGGGATAACTGGCTTGTGGCAGCCAAGCGTTCATAGCGACGTTGCTTTTTGATCCTTCGATGTCGGCTCTTCCTATCATTGTGAAGCAGAATTCACCCACCAACAGGGAACGTGAGCTGGGTTTAGACCGTCGTGAGACAGGTTAGGGGTCTCCCCTTCCTGCCCCTCGACGATCTTGCCCACCCGCCTCTTCGCTTGTTGGGGTGAGTCTTGGAGCTCGACCCTTGCATTCGTGTGGATGTGGAGGGCACGGGAGAGCCGTACAACTTAGTGTCGCAGAATAGTAAGTAATTAGCATGGTTGCATGACAGGTTTGTGGAAAAAGGGTTGCCCTCACCCCAGTGGACGAGAGCAATAAGGGGAAAGTCTAACGCTTCAGGCGTATAGACTCGCCCTAGTTTTCGCCTTGCGCTGAGGCTGGGTGCAGCCCTTAACGTCTTAGAAAACTAGCGAACAGGTCTGTGAAACGGGCTGCCCTCGCTTTAGCGCCAGAGGGCAACAAAGGGAAGACCTAGCGCTCTATGAGCATAGGCTCCCCCTAATCCATCCCGTGCTGGGAGTGGGTATAGCCCCTTTCAACGACTTAGATAGGTAGCCCAAGACTGCCCTCATGAAAATGAGAGCAAGCCTGGTCTAAGACGGTAATAAAGACTTGTCACATAACATATGTTAGGAACAACAGAAGCCARCCGGGAGGATCATATCAACCGGGCCATATACTCTATATATGTGCCCACACATGATCCACTCGATATTACCCTCGCGGGAAGTGCATAACAAAAGGGGAGAACGGACCGACCCTAAAGGGAAGCCAAGAGGTGTCAGAATTGGAAGGGGCAATGTCGCAAAGACATCCGAGACCCTTTAACGAGGCAATCAGGAGTCAAAACGGCATCCCCTCGGCAGCCCGAAAACTTGGGAGAAGTAACAAGCAAAACGGGGGAAACGGACCACCCTCAAGGGAAACCAAGAGGTGTCAGCATTGGAATGGGTAACGCCGCAAAGACATCGGAAACCCTCTGACGAGGGAATCAAGAGTCAGAGCGGCATCCTCGGTAGAGTCGGAAGGACCAATGTACCCCCTCGAGGACCGGGTTGGGAGTCAARCCGAGAGAGTGTGATGTTTTGCCCAACACTCGAACGGCATAGTGACCGTCCAATCCCCGCCGAGGCGAGTGAGATATGCCTATCACTCGTGTGGAATGGCGAACCAACCGATACCCCTCGTTCCAAGAAATGCAAAGGGGGGGAACGGACTGACGCTAAAGGGAAGCCAAGAGGTGTTAGAATTCAAGAGCACTCCATGCACTGATGGAGGAAAATCTTCGAAAATGTGGAACCGGTAAAAAACCTATCGGAATGAAATACAGAAAAAGGGTATTAGACCAAAAGCGGGGAGCCGAAACCCAGCTCAGGCAGCCCCTCAAACAAATTCGGTGGTCCTGGTGCCACAAACCAGGTGCAGGGACAACCGTTGGGAGGCGGTATCTCTAAAGAATTTCTCCTGATCAAGTAAGCAAAGGGGCAGATACGGGGCCTATAACCCGTGCCACGGCGAACTCAATGCCGATAAACCACAAGGGATATTATCAGACAGGAAAGCGACTTTTAAACGCGACAGCAGGCTCCGAAGTCAACGGCTTGGAATTTTGGAGGGTTGCAYGCCAGGACATTAACAATCGCCTAAAGTTATCCCAATTCAGGAGCGACTCAAAGCTTATCCTTAAATTGGGAATGAATGAACTTAAAAAGGGTAAACGAAATAAATACCCGCTTGCGCATTTTGAAAAAGTGGACCTCGTCATTCGATGGATGCTCAGCAAATCTGCAATTGAGACATTTGGAAGAGCCCGGATGACCATGAAAGGCCCAGCAGGTGAGATGAGAGATAGAGCTCGACGAAAACTGTACTTCAAGCATGGTACAGATATTAATGCCCTGTACCACTTGGACTGACATCAGTTCCACCAAAGACTATGGGAAAATGCAGTGGACGACGAAACCCCCACGCAAGTTGAAGAACTCTTCAATCATTGGGGAGCTGAAATGGATGGGAACCAACTCGAACCGGGCGACCTCCCGCCTTTCCCTAAAGGAGTGGAGTACTTGGCGGAGTTGAGGAGGGGTAGAGAACAACATACGCAGCACACCAAATTCACTCGGACAGAAGTGTTGAAAGCCTTGAAAGAGACACATGGGAAGAAGGCTCCTGGGTACGATGGAATCAGCAATCGAATTTGGCAGCAGTGTTGTCGAAATGGGTTGCTGACCTATTGGACGGTCTTGTTCAACATCCTCGCAGATGAGGGACAGATCCCGGAAGCATGGAAGGTGGGGATAACAGT